CGCCCAACCCTCCGCTGTCTCAGGGGCTGGAGCAACAGCCCCAGAAGAAGCCACGTAGATTAGAAAGCTCTTTTCAGAGCCACCCCGTTCCCCAAGGAAGCCCGGCCCGACATACCCCCATCCCCCAGAAAAGAGCCCCCGCGCCGTTGCGGCGTTTCTCAGGAGGATGAGCCAGCCGTAGCGCAGCTGGCTGTTCCTTGAAAGTGACATTGTCCATTTAGAGGTGTCTTTGCACATTACAAGATTACCGCTCCCGCCAAGTCAGACGTTGGCCTGTCTCCTTGAGAGCTCGGGGTTCGCTTTCACCAGTATGTCGGCGGCACTCAGCTTCCCTCTCTCCCGCAGGTATTTCATTAGATGAGGCCGCTGTCTCCAAGTGACCTTTACTCCATACTCGTCCTCGGGGGTATCTGTAACCAGTACTGCTGCTGACTCCTCTCTCCCACAGGGATCAATGTCGAATGCCAGCTCTTTTTCTGGATGCCAGGCGTGGCTGCTTGTTTGCGGCAGAGTGCTGCTGCATCTCCAGTTCCTTACGGAAGGCACCTGTGGAGTCTCTACATCCGGTGGACTAAAGAATTCTGGCTCCACAGGCTGGGGAGCAGGTAACAAAGGTATTTCCCTACAGTTTGCCGGACTGTTCACCTGGATGTTGGCTTTTGCTGCTGTCCCTTTCTTGGGTGGGCTGAGAGAGCACTGTGTGCTCTTCCTAGAGCGATTTGGACGGTCTGAGGGGTGGACTGCATATCCTTCCGGATTCTCAAAAGTTAAAGGAGGAAATTTGCAGGCTATAGCTTTTCGACAAGCTCCTCCTGCATGAAGCAAACTGTGGTTGGCATCCTGATTCTGGGGTTTGTGAGGACCACGATGCTTCTTCTGGCATGCTTTCAACACCACTGACTTAGTTGTTTCAAATTGTGGGCACACCTGAAGGGAAAGACATAGTAATAAGAAAAAACCCAACAATTTTCTCCAGACGAAGGAATGCCAACCTGATTCTACTCCCCCACCCATCCCACCTTTTTTCAGTGTGTTCATTAAGTGGGTAATCTGGTCTGCAGCAAAGCAAATCAGTCACTAACCGAGCTGCTAAGGAGATCCCTCTGAACTTCAACATGATGCTCCGCCACTCTTCTCTGAAAAGTGATTGGGGTGCAAGTGAGCCGTTCTCTGGCAACTTAAAAAGCACTCAAGATACGGGTTTTAAAGAAAAGTCTAACTGGCGTCTACTCCTGTAACCCCTGTTTCTGTGTCTTAGCATAACTCTGAATAGATTCAGTGAACTCCATCCTCAGTCTCCCTGAACAGGTTGAACTGAAAGCAATACAAAATGATTTAGAGGATGCCCACTTAGCTCCATCACCTTAGATTACGTTAACAAGGCTTTCAGAATATTCCCCCCAAACATCTTTTACTTCAAAACATAGTTAATCTCTGTATTCTGGAGTAACAGATCACCCAAAAGCCACTTCTAAAATCAGCTTTCTACAGAAGATGATCAAAGCTCAACAATCTATATTTCTTTGAAAGATTCTGGACTCTTACTCAAAATGTGGAAATCCTTCTATTATGGTATTCTTTGTCTTCCTGGGTATCAACAAAAAAAGTCAGGTTCCGTTTCTTGCGATTTGCTTTTCCCTAGAGCACACCAAACTGGATTCTAGCTACAATAACTACAGATCCCTTTCAGCATTCCTAAGTTACTACACAGTCCCTCAAAAAACTAAGTGCAATTTAATTAAGGGTAGCGATTGTCTGCTGTACAACTGAACTGTTTGAATGTAAAGCCTTTGTGCAGGAAAAGAGAGAAGTGATTCCCTGATAATTGTATCCTGGCACATCCTCACAAAGTTCAGAGAACATGTAGGGTAGGCTTTACCAGTGCAGGAGCCTAGCAGTCAAGAGGGTATGAAAAACTTAGATAACATCAAGAAGAGAAGAGCAGAAAATTAGTTGCCACTGAATGAGTTGACAGAAACTCTGCAGAGAATGCTTCAAGAAGTTACAAACCTACCAGGATTTTCAAATGGAAAAAATATCTAACAGTTTCAGTGCCGATAGCTTCAAACAAATTTTATAATCACTGTATGTTTGGAATCAAAGAGCAAAGTACCAGTGTGGATATTGCCACCTCTTCCAAGCAAAAAGAATGCTTATTCACAGCAGTTATTTTACTTAATGTTTCAGAAGCCATAGTGCTAACTGCCTCAAGGATATAAAAAAAAATTAAAGAGGAAAAAATTGAATATGTTCTACTTCAAGGTTAAGGCATCACAAAAATAACTCCAGGTCACCAAGAACAAAGGAATGTTTCATGCAGGTTTGAAACCACGCTTCCTGAGCCTGCTTTGTGAAGAGCAGAGAGTCAAGCAGCAATAATGCTGAAACAGAGCTCCCCTAGGTGATGACTATTGTTGTATAGGAACAGTCTGTCTTTGCAGCACCTGTTTACTTAAAAAAAAAAATCTTTACATTACATGATATAAGGAGTATCCTGGGACACTGCAAACAGTCCCCGGAATATTTTTTCAGACCAGAAAAGGAGCCCATCGGAAGAATGATACGGAGAGAAACTATGCAAAACACAGAATGGAAAAGAGGGCAGGTTAGAACAAATAATCCTGAAGTGAAAGCCTATGTTCTCTAAACTTAGCAGTGTCAGATTTAAGCAAAACACCTAGTACTTTAATATGTAACATTTAGAGTTCAGCAGTTATTTCAAGCAGCAAGCCAATAAAACAATTCCTCCTAATGTTTATTACGTGCAGGGTTTTCAGTTGCCATAGAAAACAGTGTTTTCCTGATGAGAATTAGTTTTTCAGAAGACAAATAATCAGTACACGCTGCACACAGTTTTATGCCTTCAAATAACCAAGCCCTTAGTGGTTGTAGTTAGAGCGTGAAGCAGCTCCAAAGCACTTATTTATGCTTGAGGCAGCAACAGTGAATTCAGGTCTGTGCTACTAATTTTCAGTATCCAGGACAGAGAGCTTTCTGTTGAGACATACGGGAGAAACTTGAAAACCATTGCTGTGGGACGCAGGGGGAAGGATAATCTATACCAACCCAGGCAGCAGAGGTGGCCTGGTCTACAGGTTTTGTAGGAACACGTCTCGGATTCTCGGCCGAAGGTAGCGGAGCTTCATAGGAATGGACGGGTCCCTCTCGCGGCCTCTCAAGGAATACCAGCTCTGCCTTCCTGGCCTTGTGGGTACATTTCTTCTTCGGAGGCATCAAAAGATATGGTCAAACGACTGAGAAACCTCATGATGCTTGCTAGAGCCAACTGGAGAAAGAGGAAAGCACCCCAAAGGAGATGCTAAAGTGCTCTCAAATCTGTAGAAGGCAAATAAATGGACTTGAAGACAAACTTGTTTAGAAACCTCGGATCTAGTTTTTTAGCAAAAGTAAAACATTTATGCAACAGTACAGTGTACACATCTCTATGCAGACTTTTTCCTACCAGTAGTTTTTGAACCTTCTGTTGAATTTCAGGTAGATTTAGGAACGCAGAGCAGAATAGACAAATGCTGCAAAGCTTCACAAAAGCTGATAGCCAAATACATCGGGGGAGAAAGAGATGCAAACAAAACAAGCGTCCCAGCTGCAAAAGAAGTTCTGAACTGGCCTTTGGGCAAGACTCAACATTACTGGAAAAATTTAGTTTCTTATGAAAAATACATATTTTTAAATACACAAGACAGGCAAACTCACATAGGCATTTTTCTTCACAAAAATAAAATAAAAGTAATTTGAAATACATCCATCTACGATAAGGCCTGACTAAAATACTGAAATACAGAACCAACTATATTTAGAATAGGCTTGGTCACTGAAATTTTAAGGAAATTCAAATCACTGGGAGAGAAGAAAAAAAAAATTGAAATGGAAGTAGTTGACCTACTGAACCAGCTATGTCATCAGCTATCAAAAAAATTTGAAGAAATAATTTCTTCACATTAGCTCAATATCTAGTCTGGTCACAGACAAAGAATGGTTTAGGAACTTAAAGTCAGAAAAATTTGTTTTCTTTTTTCAATTTAATCCATAAAACTGGTTTGTAATGCTGAGATATATTGTAGGGCCAAGATAACCAGAAGTCTTTCCATTTCTAGTTGCTAACTACCTATACTTTTTAATGTCAGGAACTTTTAAGTTTTTAAATACAGAACATACTTGATGTTTCCCTCCTGTAGATATCTTGCATGATTTTTTTTTTTTAACCCAGTGAATAAGTTTTAATTGAAATGACATTGAATTTAATTTTCCATTCACAAGCAGATTAGCACAGACGAGGAATTTTAAAGAGGACATTTTCCGAGAAACGCATCCTCTTTACCAAGCGCACAAGACTGCGGCAGCCTGACTGCTTACCAAACGCGCAGCCTTCTCGGGGAGTCCTGCGAGCCCCCCCGGCCAGACACAGCCGTAACGCCCGTTAAACG